TATGTCATACTGTGTGCTGGAGGACCAGTGTCTTGGCGCTCAAGAAAACAAAGCACAGTATCAAAACTAACAACAGAGGCAGAGTACATCGCTGCAGCAGAATGTTGCACAGAATTCACGTATTTGAGAGCATTGGCAGAAGAGCTGACAGGAAGATCTGTGGAAGTAACTTTGTATGTGGACAATCAAAGTTCCATAAAGTTAATTAAATCAGGCCAGTTGAGATATTTGAACTGTGTAAAAGATTTGTAATTTAGCTTTCAGGATATTTTGTTCATATGTATTAATGATAATGTTTCCTAGATTTTTCAAAATTGATAAAAAAAACATTTCACCATTAAGGGAGTGTGTTAGGAAATCACATATTGATAATATGTAAGTAGGTAATGGAAAATGTTTTTGACTTTGAGAATCACTTCAAATAAATGTCACAAATATTATATGTATGTCACTCATTGCAATTTTATAGAATATATTAAAAGATTTAATCAAACTAAAATAAAACAACAAATTGGAACGCAACAGCGAATCGCGCAGGACTATCCCCAGCCGATCCTCCGAAACTTTACAATATTGAATTCGTAAATAAAATATTGACAAAAGTTCCTTGCCCGTGCTGGAAATCGAACCAATCCCGGCTTACGTATGTTGTATAACTACTGAGGGCGTCAAAATATGAAGAGACGACATGTACAAACTATGACGTATATTGGATTATTCGAATTGAACTTCCATTGGATGTCCATTTGATAGCCATTAGTACAAAGAAAACTCATAACATTGGATGTTTTGAACTGGACATCTACTGGAAATCATTCAAAATGTCTACGTTTATAGACCTTTAATGAACTCGTGAATAACAGGTGGAGACTTCAACTGGAATAAATTTACTACTGGTGGACTAGATGATTTTTCTGGAAATTCGCGAGACACGTCAACGTTTCGATGAATTTAGGTTAACTCATGATGAACAGACGAGAGATGATGGAATCGAAAATTGTAATTAACCTGTACTCAAGAAAAAAATTGTCTTAAAAGGAGATACATTGACTTTACATCTCTTGTAATAGCGAGGATATGGGAGTTGGAGATGATACATTATAATTGCAGTTCAAGTGAGGTTTTTACGCGAGAAGTTGATCTGATGAAGTTGAAAGGAACCAGAACTTCAACTTTTCTTCCCTAGGCAACATGTTATAGATATCGAGGTCACATTGCAAAGAGTGAATGGGGTCCAGCAAGAAAACAGAAAAAAAAATACTTCCGAAAGAAGTGAAGGGATCGAAAGAAGAAGACAAGTACGGTATGTTATGGTATAGAAGAAACCGATTCAGATAAGGTAATTGGAGTACAAGAAGAAGACAATGCTGCACCGGTGAATTCTGTTTGAGCCATAAGGACTGTGATCCCGGACACTCTCAATTTGCTCATCAATAAGTGCAAAATTTTTTATCGAGTCTCTCAACTAACATTATTAATGAGACAGAATACGTCAGACTGAAAATATTTGGTCTTCAGTTTCCCTTGAACAGAAATGAAAGGAGATTTGATGAATAAGGGACCAATAACTCATTACAGAAAATTGGTGTGTATGAGGCGTGTGTTATGTCTCCTCATTCCGTGTGGTGGTCGGATTAGAATAACCCCACGGTAAGTCCTGCCTGTCGTAGAAGGCGACTAAAAGGACGCCAATAGGTGGAAGATGGTTAACGCCATCGCCCGGTGCGATACCACCACATCAACCATAGGCACTGTGAAATGGGTATACTTACCCGTGTTTCAGTAGCTGGTTGTTGTTCCGGCCAACCCAACCCAACCCAATTTCCTTTTCCTTCCACGCCAACCTCCCTTCTTTATACAGAATACGCGATGATGAATTCTCCTCAAGTAAAATTATCCGGAAGTAAAATACCTCTCCATTCGGATTTCCGGGCGAGAGGTGCTAGAGGGGGTTCACCATCGGCTCAAAAAGTCCTCAAGATAGACCTATGCAACATCCGAGGTCTAAGTAAGAACATCAACGATGTCCATCGGCACCTTCAAATTGAAAAGCCAGACATATTGGCTCTTACTGAGACACAGGTCAATTCATCCACCAATACGACCTATCTGCTCTATCCTGGGTACGAACTCCACACACGTTTCAGATTCAAGGGGGGTCTCTGCCTCTACTCCAAAACGAATCCCTCATGTCAACGACAAAAAACTTTGGAACCAAATAAGTTTGATGTCATGTGGTTCAAACTCGATAGCCAGAAACAGACCAAATACCTTTGTTGTCTCTACTTATCACCAAATGATCCATCCTATGAAGAGCTCTTCGAATTCTTGTCTCTTAAGCTTGACCAAATTCAACAGAACCATCCAGCAGCAGAAATCATCATCATGGGCGATTTCAATGTACACAACACTGCTTGGCTCGTACACTCTAACAGAACGGATGAAGCTGGGCGACAAGCCGAAGCTTTCGCCATCACTCACGGCTTAGAGCAGCTTATCAAAGAACCCACACGAATTCCCGATGCCAATAACCATTCAGCTAACATACTTGACTTATTCCTCACTAATAATTCAGCACCCTACACCATAGATGTACGAGATCCACTTGGAAATTCTGACCACACACTCATCTCCACAACCTGCCCATTTTTCATTCCATCAACTGCTCCGGCACCCCCACGTCTTATATGGCATTACAATTCAGGAGATTGGGACGGTCTCCGCATGTTTTTCTCCGAGTTTCCTTGGCATAGAGTATGCTTTGACTCTGAGGACCCTTCACAGTGTGCTGCGGAAATATCCGAGATCATCATGCTCGGAATGGACACATACATACCTCATTTTTCGAAAAGATCATCACCTTCGAAACCCTGGTTCAACAAAAACTGTTCTAGGACTGTTGCCTTGAAACAAAAAGCCTACAATCGCTGGCGCAAAAACCCTAACCTCGCGACTAGAGCCGAATACGTTGATGCCAGGAATAACTGCAGCCAAACAATAGATGCTTCGAAAGAAACATACAATGCCAAGATAAGATCGAAACTCATAGATTGCCCCAATGGCTCCCGTTCGTTTTGGTCCCTTGCTAAAGCGGTCGGAAGAAATTTTACTAATAGTTCATTTCCACCACTGTCCAAATCCGACGGCACATTAGCAACAACATCGCAGGAGAAAGCAAATATTTTTGCAGAGATTTTCGCAGCAAACTCGACTTTAGATTCCCAAGGAAAACTGCCGCCAGACATTCCACCCGTTGAGAGTCGAATGCCCGAAATCGTCTTCCGTCAACGCACTATCAGACGAATTTTGCTTGGTCTCAAAACGAATAAGGCTAACGGTCCTGATGGAATTCCACCCATTATCCTCAAAAAATGTGCACCAGAATTAACACCGATTCTCTGCAAGTTGTTTACTATCTCGTACAGGTCGGGTATTTTTCCATCATGCTGGAAGACAGACAATTCCCAAAAAAGGGAACAAGAACCTGCCCAACAACTACAGGCCCATTGCCCTGTTATCAGTAATCTCCAAAGTGATGGAGAAAGCCATCAATATTGAACTTATCAAATATCTGGAGAGCTCAGGAATCATCACTGATAGACAATACGGCTTTCGCCACCGAAGATCTACTGGAGATCTACTTGCCTACGTCACCCATTTATGGCAATCTTCAATAGAAAAACACGGGGAATCTCTAGCTGTCGCGTTGGACATATCGAAAGCATTCGACCGTGTTTGGCACGAAGGACTCCTCCACAAACTACCATCATACGGCTTACCACCTCAGCTAAACCATCTCTTATCGAGTTTTCTTTCAGGCAGGTCGCTTCACGTGGTGGTGGACGGTGTATCGTCTGATACCATTGGCATCAATTCCGGCGTTCCACAAGGATCAATTTTGGCACCAACATTATTCCTGCTTCATATCAATGATCTGTTGGGAGTAACAACTTGCCCCATCCACAGCTTTGCAGATGATAGTACCCTCCATACTGCGTTCTCTTCCAGAATTCCCATTTCTTCCCAGGAAACTAAGAACTCACGGCGCAGGCAGGTCAATGCTGTCAATGAAGATCTTGCTGAAATCACAGCCTGAGGAACGAACAACCTAGTTGAATTCAACGCCACCAAAACTCAAGCCTGCATTTTCTCTAGGAAGGCGGAACTCAGTATGCCCGATATTGTTATGTCTGGCTCCACCATCCCCACCAAGCCCACCATATCTATGCTCGGTATTTCCATCAGCAACACTCTTTCATGGGATAATCATGTCAGATCCATCGCAAAAGCTGCTTCACAAAAACTCGGATTCTTGTTCCGTGCGAAAAGCTACTTTACACCTCAACAGCTTCTCATGATCTACAAAGCGCAGATACGGCCTGTTCTAGAATACTGTTCCCACATATGGGGTTCAGCACCAAAACATACGCTGATGCTCTTAGATTCCATCCAGAGAAGAGCCATTCGCCTGGTGGGTGACGCCACACTCACTTACTCTTTGACATCATTGGAACACCGTAGAAAGGTCGGCGACCTTTCACTTTTCTATCGATACTTCCACGGGAAATGTTCTTCGGAAATCTCTGCAATCATCCCTTCACTAGCAATACCAATCAGACGAACAAGACAAGCCCAGTCAGCACATCCTTTCGTTGTCAACCTCGAAAGATGTCGAACAGCACTTTTTCAAGACTCCTTCATCCATAGAACGGCTATAGGCTCTGGAATTCATTACCTGTGGAAGTATTCCCAACAACATATAATCTCCAAAAATTCAAAAAAAATTTCAATACCTACCTCCTGTCCCTATCCTCCCTAGGAACACACGATGTTCTTTGAACATTATAGGGATTCCCTTTCGTGCGCTCCCATCGATAAAAAAAAAAAATAAAAAAAAAAATAAAAAAAAAAAAAAAAATAAAAAAAAAAAAAAACCGAAAACTGGTCAAAAGGTGGTTCACGATGGAAAGGGACCTTTTTTATCAGGACGAGAAACATCTATGGCAGTCGGCCTGCTGGGAATAGTTCCTGTTGCAGTGGCTCAAACTATTCAAGCAGGTACAAATTGGAATGAAACTGATATTATCAAAGATGTTGATACGGCGCCAACTGAGAGTGAAGATGAAGGAGGAGACATTTTGCTCAATACAACGATGATGTCAGTCCCTGCGGTCTTCTCAATTGATGAAGTACACCAGAGCACTATTCACGATTCTGAGCTGTCTTATCTCAAGAAAGCATTTCAAACGAATAATTGGCCCAAGGAGCTCAAACGTTTTCGGCTCATTCAGCATGAACAGCTATGTATTGTGGATGCACGCATATTCCGGGTTGCTCGCATTGTTCTGACATTGTCGCTTCATACAAGAACTCTAGAAGTTGCACACAAGGGACTCATTTCATACAGTGAAATGAATGCTGAGTTGGGGACTGAAGTTTGGTGGCACACAATCATGTGAAGGATGTAGATTGGTGAGTAAGTCTTCACCTCCAGAGCGATTAGTCAGAACAAATTTGGTTTATTCAATCCCATGCAATAATTGGAATGAAACATATCTAGGAACAACAACAAAATATTTAAAAAATATATTGAGAGGTCATCATTATAGTACACAAAATCCAACAGCACTTACAAAACACTACTCATGTGGGTTCCAGGGCATGAAGGAATCAAAGGAAATGAGGCAGCTGATCGCCTTGCAAAAAAAGGTGCAGCATCTGCACACTTTGGTCCTGAGCCTTTTTGTGGGATAAGCAAATGTCACCTAAAGGGAGAACTCGGAAAATGGGAAGAAATTGAAAAGTCTTCCTACTGAAGAGCAACTCCAGGTCAACGACAAGCGAAAAGGTTCATCAACCATTCGCAGAACCGAGCGAAAGAGCTACTCAGCCGTAGCAAACCAGAGCTAAAGCTTATCACATACTTTGCTCATGTGAAGTATTAGTCCGCCAAAGGCTGAACCACCTAGAACAGGTCTATCTCAACCCTGCTGAAGTGGAAAAGTCAACCATCAGGAAAATCGTAGGCTTCATCAGGAGTCTAGGGTTAGAGGACCAAAACTAGATAGGGGTAATCACAATAGATTTTCTAGGTCGCAGTGATCGAGAGGTCTCTCAGCCTATACGACCCATCTACAATCTACTACAAAATACTAACACATGAAACAAACTACAATGAAAGATGTATCGAAGAAATGAATTACATTAAAAAGGATAACAACACAATAAACGATAGACACAAACAACCTAAGTAACAATCACCACAAAATCATATAACTACTATTTCAAATTAAAAAAAAATGGGTTTTTATCCATTTTCAATGAACTTTCAGCTAAGAAAGAGCCAAATACTCAAAGTGAAATGTAATGGTCACAGAGAGAGAGGAACTTAAAGTCATGACCCTAGTAGTTCATGAAATGAACGAAAATGGTAGATAACGAGAGAAAAACAACCAGGAAAGTAGTTGTTTTTCTCTCGTTGTTTACCATTTTCGTTCATTTCATGAACCATTGTGGTAATGACTTAGAGTTTCTCTCTCTTTGTGAATTTGACTTTGCCGCGAAAAAAAATCAATCTGTTGAATATTTAGCACTAGAGTGCCTCGAACATCTCATTTCATGCTCTTCGGAGAGTGTGAACACATTATCAAACAGCTGAACAAAAAACATGAGACACAATAAATATGTTTTATAAGAGATGTAATGACATTTTTGTGTACTCCTTCACTGAACAAGTGCAGACATAATTTTATTTGAAACCTTAACATTGGCGTAACACCAAAGGCACATAATGCTATTTGTGTAGTTATATCAATATTCTGTCAATGAATGTATTTCCATGAAATGAATATTGAATTTAACGAACAATTGGAATGTCGTCTCGCCTTAGGGCAACTCAAATGAATGTTGACCATCTTTCATTAAAATTTTTGCAAGTGGTTATACCGAACAAAACACAGGGTGTCCCTGAAATGTCTGTACAAGGTCACAGCACATACTCCTGAGGTGAAAAGGAGCCGATTTAACGCAACTCACCTCAGTCCGAAGTTGCTTCGTTTCCGAGATACAAGTTGGTGAAGTTAATCAAAATCGATTTTCTCAGACTTAATGAACATTTTTGAATGTAGTACTTCAAGAATTGATATTTTTTGAGTTGTGAAACACGAATACAGGCGCTTTTGCACTGTGGCTAATAGAGGGCGCTTATAATGCACTTCTTATGGTATAGAATGACCATAACTTTTTTCTCAGTGTAGTTTCATACCAGATTCGTCAGGAAACATTGTTGTGCAGTGATAATCCGCTAACAAAAGCCGAATTCGTGGTATATCGGTTTTTGATGGTCGATGCAGCACCGGAATATTTAAATTATTTTGAATAAAAAATGATTGCTGTTATCTTCTGGGATGTAGTTTACATATATTTCTCGATGCTTTCTTTGAGTGTACTTGTCGATTTTTCATTTTCATTTTCACCACCCTGTATCTCGGAAACGCAGCAATTTCGGACTGAGGTAACTTGTTTTGAATCGGCTCATTTCAACCTAAGGAATATGTGCTGAGACTTTGTACAGAGCTTTTAGGAACACCTGTATATTCGAAAACATTCTCGCGGAGACACCTATTCAATTTCCACAACTGGCGTTCCAAATCTGAGAATGATGACAATTCGTACTTGTCAGTGGTGACAATAAGCGTGTCCACATTCTGTCAGTTCCTTCTTGTTTCAACTCATTATCACATGACGAAAGTATGTCCGGAATAATAGCGTTGAATCAGAGATAAATAGATCGCTGTGCCAAGGTCATTATATGACGTTGCGATCACATGACATTCAACACTACGGAAAAACATGCACCGAAACAGAAATCGTCCATTTCAATACTAAAATTCGCTCTTGAATTGACGTTTCTATTACTGACACAAACATATAGGTATGTTGCTACGCAACACTTTTAGTTCCTTGGAGGTGAAGTTCAACTTCAGCTCCTAGAAACTGGGAAGGATGTACTAGAGGTCATCAAGAATAAACAACATTGTTACGGTTGGTTATTTATGGGTTGAGACGCATACCTGATTTATTTTGTCAGATTTGGCATTTCATACCCATGCTGGAGATATAAATACACCATATTATAGTTGAGTATTTTTGTTTTGACCAGGAAAGCGTTCAAGATTCACATACATGCTTGATTTGTATTTCCTTCGTTAGTCCTGGGAGAGAATACTCGTTATTAAATAATCACGGCCAGCAATAGTTTTTTGTCTCAAACAACAACATCGTTTGCCTTCATTCGGTTATCGAGCCAAACACAGTGGAATGTGAAGAGAAATGAATAATTGCTATCATTATTGAATAAATACGAAAAGCTCGAAGTCATCTCCACACAATGTTCATAAAATGAACAACAATGGTAGATTTCTGGAAAAAAACAACTACTTTCCTGGCTAATGCCACACAGAACATTGAATTACATTCTGCAGAAATCTATGCATCAACTAATATAAACGAATAATGATACAAGTGATTATTTCCTAAATACCTATTGATTTTGATTTACCCACGCTAAACACACAGACCGATTTTGAGCTCTTTGACTCTCATCAATGCAGGGCAGTCTCCAGCCAGCAGTCCTAAGAACTCCGACTATGCGTAGCCTAGCCAAACAAAAATCAAGTCGACATCATATTTCCTCAAAGGCGTCCTCCAGAGACAATATGAAAGCAACGCCATCTGAGTAAAAAAGAAACACCCCAAAAACTGAAATTTCCATACGTGAGTGGCTGGTTGCCCGAATGGCGTAATTTCAAATACGAAATAACCACAATGCTCAGTATCAGTATTCGTTTATACGAGTCGATGCATAGATCTCGGGAGGATGTAATTCAATGTTCAGCGTGGCATTAGCCAGGTGAATACACTCAGTTCCAAAAAAAAGTGACGCACTTGATATCTGACCTATCTTCTTGAAGAAAAAAAAGAAAAAATAGTAGGCCGATTTCTATTTTTTTTTATTTGTTGCTAGGTCTTTAAAAAAAATAAAGTTGGTTAAAATTTTTTCAAAACCTCCTTGAAGGTGGTGGAATAACTCGAATCGTGATTCATTCTTAATTTTTTACTAACCCTGTGTGTTAATTGAGTAATGGCATAGGAAGTGCTTACTTTCTATACGAAAGAGGCTTCTTCTGCGAGCATTTTGTTTCTTTATTCATTGATCTATCTCCAAAATTCCAGAATTACAGCTTTTTTTGCTGAATCCTTGCAGATTACCAACCAACTTCCTGAATTTATCGAGAAACAATTTTCTAATGAAATAAACTGATACCAATAATTTTTAAAATACATTTTTTCTACTCACATAACTAAAATGACATTTAGCGTACGAATATGTACCACGCTAACTGATCTATTAATCACGGATTGTCGATCTGTGATTTATTCAAAATATTAAACACGTTACCATGGCAACACGATTTCTCAAACACATTACCATGGCAACACAGTTCATTAAACACAGCTTCAGTAATTTGAGACATGTCTGGCCTGTCAATTGTATTAACTGTCAACTGTTATTCTCAAATTTTGTATCATAATTATTCAAACAATATTCGTGTGAATCAGAATTCTTCATTGAAAATATATGCGAAAAGTAGACGAAAGAGAAATCGAAGAGAATATTCTGGTACTTGCATATCTCCAAGAAGTGTAAAAATGAAGCATCCATCTTTGAGAATAATCTATTAATTCTGCGCTAAGCATGACAATAAACGTGAAAGAAAGGTTAGTAAACAATGGACTGGACACATCTACAACCAATAGCACTTATACGTGTCTCGCTGGTTGCATGCAGTTGTATGTATTATGTTCTCAACTCCCATTCCTTTCGAATTATTTTGTAGGTTAGCAGGAATAGCAGGTATGTTAATGTAATTTTCGGAGTTCGTAGAAAAAGCATGGTATGTAACGCGTTTATAAACTCTTCTAGACACTCGTTTATTAAACACTCGCTCCGCTCTGCTCCGCTTGTGCTTAAAATACTCGTTACTAAAAGGACGTTTATAACACTTGTTACATAATATACTATTTTTCAACACAAAATTATAAATTGGGATGACTGCTTAATACCGTGTATTGCTTCCTCTAGCAACTCAATTATTGCCCACTAACTTTGCATAAGGTAAGACATACTGCTCTAAAATGTCAATGTAAATTTGGGCATTCATCGACTGCCTCACCGGAAAAACATGAAGGGGTGTTTTTCCATTCATTGAAATCCCTACCCTCCCCACACCATAACGGACCCACCATTAAAACTTTCGCATTCTGTTATTAAATTTTGATTAAACCGTTCACCAGTTCTTCATCACACTCCATCCACCATGTTAAGGCAAAACCTTGACTGATCCGTAAACAAGACATTCGACCATTCAGGAATATTCCACTGTCCATAATTTTCAAC